TTGTTATGTGAAGCGATAATAAAAAAACTATTTCATTGATAATTAAAATGAATAGACAAGCCATGTGGCACTTTTTTCAGCCAACTTGTTATTGAACATCGTCAGAAAAATCTTGTTGAAATTATCCCGTGTATAGCGGGACATGACTACCGCAGAACCGACTCTGTAAGCGGTGCGCCTGTATAATAATAATTATTATTGTAGAAAGTCACAAGTTACAATTTTAGACATTAAATATGTAAAATATGTAACGATAAAAAGTACGTAATAATCTTTTCAATAATGCGAAATTATTATTCTAAATATTCTCACTGATTTTTTTTTATAATTAGCAATTTGTATAATTCAGCGGTCATTGTCTTCTTCTTCTTGTTATGGCCCCATCGAAATAATCACTGATTTCGCCAATGTCAAGTAAAAATTACTATGTACGGTAGTTTTGTAGAAATAGTATAAAAATTATGGCGGACAACGCCATTAGCAAGGCCGGTACCCTGCGGTCATTGTCTGATTATACTTCAGTTTTTTTTTTGTTAGATTATTATAAATTTTCATGCATGCGTAATTTATATTGATCTTATTGACATAATAAAGTGAAATTTGTATAATTCAAAATATTATATATTATAATTAAGGTCGAATCAAATTGTTTTGTTTTTCAGAGATGTTCGAAATTTTAATATAATAATAACATCGAATGAAGCAATAATAACATTTTCACAGATAATATTTTAACAAAATGTATCTTTATGCTGATCGTAATTTGCGGTTTTTGAACACATCATGGAGGGTTTATGATATGTATGTAGATAAAATCCTAAACATTAACATTAGGAAATGTAACCTGAATATTCCCTACCAAGGTGCCAGAGGCGATCAGAAAATGCCAGAAAGCGGGTATCACGGTCCGCATGGTGACGGGTGACAACGTGAACACGGCGCGCTCCATCGCCGTCAAGTGCGGTATACTTAAGCCTACGGATGACTTCCTCATTCTCGAAGGAAAAGAGTTCAACAGTCGGATCAGGGATGCTAATGGAGAGGTGAGTGTCTTTAATAACTTTGTAACTGCCTCCGTGCGGAACGGTTACGATGCCGGACTGCCACGCAGAGGTCCTGGGTTCGATCCCCAAGCCGGGAGAAACATGTGTATGGCCTACATTTATTTCTCTCGTGAGTTTGGGTATAATTTGTGGTTTATCTGTGTTTGTGCCTAGGTGCGGGGCTATGAGTGTGTTGCTTTATTAAAAATAATCTTGTACCTACCTAATGTTGTATCTACTTGGGTACTATCAATTTTAGGTGGCTAATAACGTCATAGGCTTTTTTATTGTGCAACGGTTATTCTTAACCGACTAAAACAAAAAAAGAGGAGGTTCTCAATTCAAATGTTTTTTTAATGTATGTTACGCGATGCTCTAATTTGTGAACCGATTTTGATGATTCTTTCTGCTGGAAAAGAGAGTACCTCAGTATTGGTCCCTGTAACAGCCACAGACGTGCCAGTATGTCTAACCCTCTTCCGACATTCAGGCACGACTTAGTGCAAGCAAAAGTAACGACCATGCCCTGTGAATCTGCATAAGACACATGTATCAATGTAGTATAAGTAAGTAGCTCAAACAAAATATAACACAGTCATTTCACCAACCCACGACTCGTCTATCATTCTCTACCAAACCACCATGGCGAAGTGGTGACCACCAACACCTTTCACCTACGCCATGGTAAAGACCCATTTAATTTTTAAGAAAATATTCCACCAGTAAGGGTGGCAAACTAGGGGTGAAATTGTTTTCGCGCAGATGTAATGCCACGAACTTTTGAGGTCGGTTTATTTTAGTACTCTGTTCTCAGATTATTTTGTACCTTAACAGAAGAGATTACTCTAAGCATAACATTACAAATACCAACAGACATAATACGATCTCTGGTAATAACAACTAACATTAAACACATGCTTTCAGGTACAACAAAACCTAATAGACAAAGTGTGGCCGAAACTCCGCGTACTCGCGCGATCCTCACCCACTGACAAGTACACCCTGGTAAAAGGCATGATCGAGTCGAAGGCGTTCGACACGCGCGAGGTGGTGGCCGTGACTGGCGATGGTACCAACGACGGACCTGCGTTAAAGAAGGCTGACGTTGGATTTGCTATGGTAAGTTTACTCATAGGAAATGAAACTATTTTTTTAGTATTTAAATCACGTATATTTGTTTTTTCAAACAAACCAACCTTATTATATTATTGGATCTGCCAGGACTTGAACCAGCATCTGTTGCCACACCAGGGCCGCCGTTTTGAAGTAAAGAAACTGTCATAACTTTCCCACAGGTGACGCTGACATCTGCTGACTCGGACAGTAGCTCAGCTGGTAAAACCGGTGGCCCCGGTATGGCAACCGACGCTGGTTCTAGTCCATCAGATAGATACCTCCGATGAACACTACTTTATTTTTTTATTATTTTCTGTTATTTTTGTAAACAGACATATTTAGTTACTAATATTATGCTCCCCGATTTTTGTAAGAAAAAAGAAACAAAAAACAAAATTCGAAAAAAAAAACAAAAAAACCAGTTTTGTGAAACAAATAAAGAAAGAAAAACAAAATAAAAACAGAGATGACCAAAAAATTCAGTTGGCGTAGTGTGTTGTTCGATCTTTGTATGAATAGTAAACAAACTAATGGAGTATTGTCACAAAAAATAACTGAATATTGCATTGATAAAAAGTCATGATATTCAATATATAAATATTGGTCTTCACCTTTTTTTTACTCAGGGTATCGCGGGCACAGATGTAGCGAAAGAAGCGTCTGACATCATCCTTACGGACGACAACTTCTCGTCGATCGTGAAGGCCGTGATGTGGGGTCGCAACGTGTACGACTCCATCGCGAAGTTCCTGCAGTTCCAGCTCACTGTCAACGTGGTCGCCGTCATCGTCGCCTTTATCGGGGCCTGTGCGATACAGGACAGCCCTCTCAAGGTGCTTTTACAAGAGTGATATTTCGGACTCGGGCAGTATTACATACAATACCTTACGTCAAACAAATGAAAGCCGTATGTAAGATGATAAAATTATAGGTTGTTCAATTCACAAATTTTGCCATAAAAAAAATTTGTCGAAATTCTAATTTAAGACCTTTTGTGTTGTGAAGGTTGAATTTGGCGTAATAATATCGATAAAAACGTTATCGTCTTCTAGACAAACACACTTACACTATATTATTATGTATGATATAGTTTACAACTTAACGTGCACAATACAGTAAATACTTATTAATTAACAGATAGTTGCAACTTCAATTATAGACAACCACAGCATGCACTTAATATATATATTAAAATTTGCCAATGTAATACTATATATAAAAAGTGTACAATGTAAACGTGAACTTATTCAAATAGGTACAAAGCGATAACATGATAAAAGGAAACAGACATTAGAGAACTAAAGTTCTTAACTAACTTAACTGTTAAAGAGCAAATAGTTCATTTCACATAGCATGAGTACAGTGACGTTGGACATTTAAAGTTTCTAGAGACGTTAGTGATATGAAATAAAATAAAAAAATTGGTTTAAATATCATATCAAAATAATTTAAAACGAAGAGGTAATCGATTTAGAGACTGTAGTTTAAGAACAAGTAATAAACAAAATAAAAAGGATTCAATTATTTTGTTAAATTATTAAAAAACTAATACATCAAATAAGACAATCAGAAACAACGAAACAAAAAGGCAACGACAGAGCCTGAAATCAATAGCAACGAAACGAAATTTGAACAATTACTCCAAAAACATCACGCAAAGCTCAAAACAAAAGAATACACTCGTGTTGACGCGATATACACAATAGCCGATTCGATTTATCGATTTATTGTATGGTGTAAATATCTATGGATAAATATTCCTTTTTATGTATTAAGTACTTGGGGTAATTTATTTTTATCTTTTTTATTTCATTTATTATCTACTTAATATACTGTAAATTTTAAAATTACAACTGCAACAAATGTTGTTTGTTTTTGGTATATTACAACAAATTTACAATTGTTTTTTAACCTGGTGGAGAGATTAGTTAAAAATAGCAAGCATGCAATGTAAAACTTTGAAATGGTACATTCCATGTGAAATGGACTACAGTTTGAATATAATATGATGACATCATCAGCTGTATATTTTTATCTTTTACTATTCTATACACGAATAATACCATTTTCAAACTATGCGTCGATTGTGGAGTACGTTTATAACATGTAGAATTTATATTTAAAGTTGTAAAAGTAACACTCCTAAATCAATTTAGTACCACATTCGTGTCATTTCTTTCTGTTAACCGTACCAGAGAAGCAGGGGGCTCAGTGAACCTAATTGTTCTGACAAATAGAACAGAGAAACCAGTTTCAAATGTTAAATTGCCACAGTTACCTTTTCATCATGGCATCTCTAGTTAGCGATGGTAGCTGTAAAGGTACCTCTCTGAGTGAAGAAATAAATGTCTCACAGATGGCGTTACGGAAAAAAGTCGTTAAAAACCAAAAACAAAGCTCTATAATAATAATAACGCATACACTCAACATAGCCCGCACTAGGGAAACCCTGTGTCGCGGGTGCCATGAACACACACATAGACAACCACAAATTACACCCAAACTCACGAGAGAAATAAATGTAGGTCATACAAATATTTGTCCCTGCCCGGGAATCTGTGTGGCAATGATAACCGTTCGGCCACGGAGGCAGTTAAACCTGCAAGAAGCACATAGAAAATTTCGTAAATTAATAATATTCGTAATTAATTGGCAGAGTTTCTGGCACGGATTGCCCATGGGTGCTGGTTCCCATCCAGCCGGATCTAATGAATTTATCTAAGTGCTCGATCTTTGTTATTAATAATTACAACAAACTAGTGGAGTAATTTTTCAAAAAAGAAAAGTTTAATATCATGGTAGTAAAGCATCGTGATATACAATATACTTAACAATTCTCTTTATAAAAATGAATCGCCAACATAACAATTGTTAATTTTAACGACGCACGCTTGCCACCTAACGCGATGTTGCCATCTAGAAATTTGAAATAAAAACTTGCAAGCTAAATAGTTTTTGAATAGTTTTGATAATGTAAGTTCGTATTCCTCAGGCCGTACAAATGTTATGGGTGAACTTAATCATGGACACGTTAGCGTCTCTGGCGCTGGCGACGGAAATGCCAACGCCCGATCTGCTGCAGCGCAAGCCTTACGGCCGCACCAAACCGCTCATCAGCCGCACTATGATGAAGAACATCCTTGGACAGGCCATCTATCAGCTGTTCATCATCTTCTCTCTCTTATTTGTAGGTTAGTAATGGTAACACGTGGAGAATTACTACAATTGTTTGGATTGAGAGTTAATCAATAGAGCATTACGTGAATTTTAAATTCGATGACCGCAGTGGCCCAGTGATTTGTACTGTCCCGGGTTCGATTCCCGGTGGAACAATTTAGAAAATAAATATTATTTGTGTTAATAATTCGACCCCTCCTACGTAAAGTATCGTATGTCGAAATTGCCAAGTTTACAGGGGAGCGTTTTCAAGTTCTGAATTCACTGAAAGAGTGATCACCATAGATCATCTAACCGATATCTAGGATTTTATAATACTCTATGTGTGTAATGAGCTTTGCCGAATAAAACTGAGAAATGCTAAAGTCACGTGTTATGTTCGTTTCAGTGAATTCAGAACTTTAAAACGCTTCCCTATAAACTTGGCAATTTCGACATACGATACTTTACGTCGGAGGGGTCGAATTATAACAAACAGTGCAGTAATTTCACAAAAAAATAATTGAGTATTATGGTGGTGAAACATACTGACATTAAATAAAAACTTTATTACAACAAAAAAAGCGCCGTCTCTAGCCAGTGCTGGTAGCTTTAAAGGTACCTAACTGGGTGAAGAAATACTTTCACAGAATTCTCACAGAAGGCGCTACGCGAAAAAATTTCGGATATAAACTTTTTTGGTTTTCTTTTAATAATAATACTAATCAGGAATATTATTCCCTAGTTTGAGACGAGGTGATGTCGGCTTTCACAATATTATTAAAAAACTTGAAGTAGTCAAAGAAAGAAAGAAAATAAAATTATAGGCACATGGGATTTGTCAACTTGCAGTGCCCCTCCGAGCTTTGCGATTTAAAGCTCGTGAGTGGCACTGCAACTGTTATGGACAGGCGTGTCGCTTACCGCCAGGCCCGTCACTTGGTATTATAAAAAAAATGGACTAATTTTGTGCAGGCGACAGAATCCTAAACATCCCGTCTGGTCGCGGTGCGGCGATTGGCTCGGAGCCGACGCAGCACTTCACGATCATCTTCAACACGTTCGTCATGATGACGCTGTTCAACGAGATCAACGCACGCAAGATCCACGGACAGAGGAACGTTTTCAACGGACTCTTCACCAACCCTATCTTCTACTCCATATGGATCGGCACTGCATTATCGCAGGTATTTTTTTTAAACGCACGCACTAATCGCACAGCACTACGGAAACCGTGTGTCGCGGGTGCCATGGACAGAGATAAATAAATATTGGCCATACAAATATTTCTCCCGGTCGGGGAATCGAACCCGGGACCTCTACGTGGCGGTTCAGCATGGTAACTTTTTGGCCACTGAGGCAGTTAACAACCGCAAATGTACACAGGGGCATTTTTAAAATAACAATTAACAAACTCGCCATAATATAGTCCATAACTAAAGCACCGGCACGCTATGATGGCTGTTTTGACGTTTGTCCGCTCATCAAGTTTCGTATTAATTCATTTTTTGATTTGAGCCAATTGATTTTTTTTATTAAGAGTTTTGCTTTGGTTACAAGTCGTTTGAGCCATGTCTTCGTTTAATTATCGGAATCCTCAGTAATGTTTTCCATCGTGATTCTAAAACAATATGTTTTCACTTTCTCTTATGTAATTTAGTTCACTTATTTGGGTTTTTTAAATAGTCTAAAGCGACAGAAGTCAATATTTATGTTTTCACTTAAATCACATTATCTTGTATCACTTTGAACAAAAATTTTGAATTCTTAATTATTAGGATTTTTAGGATAAAGTCTTTTGTAATTTGGTTTAAAATAAGGAATATAGTTCTAACTTTCTTCATCACTATTTCTTTCTTCGTTTTTACTTCATAATTTACTTAAAATAAAAATAATCTTTGTAAAGACTTATAGTTGTTTCAAAAGTCCGCCATTTTTCATTGGAGAGGGCTAATTGATATACATTTTTGTCAATAGTGACGTGCTGTAAAATTTATGGAATGTATAATTTTACGACACAACTCAGCATTTGCTTTTCGAAATTCGAAATTTTAAAAAATGAAATCTAATACGATCGTCACTTACAGGATCGTTGGCCAGCACAACTTCTACCTCCGGCAAACTAACGTCAATGCTCAATGCAAACAAAGCAGTTTCGAATTGACGTTATACTAATTAAACATTTTTATATTCGTTTTATTAAAACTTTTTAATCACCCTTTGCAATACTTTATTTAATTATTAATAGAATAGAATAGAATAGAATAGAAACCATTTATTGTAACGCCACATTATAAAAAAAACACAAAAACAAAGACTAATATAACTAGAACAGAAATAACACAAAGAACAGCATTAAACATTTCAACAACAAGTTACATAATACTATAGTGACATGTGTGCGGCTGTGGCGTGTACAAAAGGATCCCATTCTGCTAAAGTCACAACCAAGGCTAGGTTGTGACGCTGGTTTTCAATGGGCCCTAGCCGAGTGAGTGAGAGTGACGGACGTATGCGTCCCGAAACAGAAAATAAATAAAATAAACTACGTAAATACTTATATCATGAGTGTGTATAGTGTTATTGCAGTGTGTACTCTTATATCGAATAAATAATACGCATTTGATTATATTTTTTGCGATAATGAATTGATATTTAACATCACTATTGTAATCTGACAAAACGGCCATCATAGCGAGCTGGTACTTATGTTCCATGACTTTCTACAAACCATAACATCGACATTGACTCATCTCATTGGTCGGTGTGTTCACCATAAACCGTTTACGTCACACGCCTGACAAATTTCCATACAAGTGTCAGTGACAAAAAAGATGCTCGACAAATCTATCCACTTTTTCTAAGGCTCGGCGTGTAATATTTATGACCTGATATTGGGCTATTAGATTACTGAGGAATAACAAAAACAGGTTAAGATTTATGAATATAATTGATTGTTTATTAAGAACCACACAATCTACACAAAATGTGTCCTATTTTGTATACAAGACGTTCTTTTTAATATTCATCATTTTACTAAAGAGGTGTGGCCGAACTGTTCCAGGTGGTAATAATTCAATTCGGCGGCATGGCATTCAGCACGGTGGGGCTGTCGATAGACCAGTGGTTGTGGTGCCTCTTCTTCGGCGCAGGAACGCTCGTGTGGGGCCAACTCGTCACCACCGTGCCCACTCGAAAGATCCCTAAGACACTGTCGTAAGTATCGATAGTGAGGGTCTACTTGTAGTGATTTATTTTAAAAATGTTGACCCGCGCCACATAACACAAATGTCTTCAACATCCTATATTTGTTTTTTTTTTTTCATCGAGACGAGTACGATAATGACGGTATAGCTTAGTTAAATGGTCAATATTTTTCACATTGACGCATGTGCGCAGCTGGGGCCGAGGTCAACCGGAACCGGACACGATTCAACCAGGGCCAGACTATGACGGGGACCTGGACAAGAAACCGCGAGCCGGCCAGATCCTGTGGATCAGAGGCCTCACGCGGCTGCAAACACAGGTACGCACTAAGTTTATCCTTCTTAAAATACCGCTATCGTTTATCGGGGGTGTGTGTCATCAGTTTAGGGGATGGATAAGTTGGGTTCGCTGTAAAACGTGTGTGTAGAAGTAATACGATTTGCTAGAAACAAAACCTTACATACTGTATCATTTGGCGTCTAATAATTTATTCCTTATATAAGAAAACAAATGGGTATGTAGAATATAGTTGACAAAACTTACAAATTACATGTAAAAGATAACATAAAACGCAGCAGTTGTCAAGAACTTGTAGTTTTTTTTAAATGTATACACACTTGTTGTAATTTTAGATTAAAATTGAAGAGCCGCGACGTGAAGTAGGAATCAAGATTAATGATTAACCATATTTCTAAAGGTAATTTGTTTATTTATAGATATTTTCAGGTTATGGGTAAACATCTTTTAACTCAAAATATAATAATACACAAGGGAGTTTGAAACACGGTTTGAAATCTAAAATTAATAATACCCAACTTATTCTTCCACAGGATTGTTTTGTCTAATTAATCTTTCGATTTTGAGTGCAAAGGGTCTGAAATGCATTTAAAAAAGGGCTAAATCAGACCTTTAAAAGGGTTGTATTTGGGATTATTATGTTTTTTGTTTCACTAGAAAAACATATACGGACTCTTTGGACAGACACACTTAAGTTTGAAATTCAAATCTGGCATTAAGAAAAATAAAAATAATTATAATATAATTTATTCAGGTATGACAGATATGAATTTTTAATAAATAAGCTAATGAAGAACAGTCGACTACCATGTTATTAAATAATCAAGATTTTTATGAGCTACTTTTAAATAAATAAAAAAACTAAAATATATTTTTATATTATATATCCAAAGCAGCGTATATTGTTAAAATGATAATAAAGCTTTTTTTGTTTTAATTTTCTAAAAAAATACCAGAAAACGACTTTTGTTTATTAGCTATTATTTAAAGCATACGGCCCAATACAAACTTTGTCTACATTGTTCAGATGTATACAAATTTATTAAATATAAAAATCCTTCTTTTTGAAGTTTTGTTTGCGTTAGGCTGTGAGCTTTTCATATCATACAATGACATCCAAAATTCTGTAAAACTTAGACATATTTTATTTCCAGATGTCATACTATGGTATATGTTGTTGTACGGGAATTGTTTGTTACTATATTTGGAAAAAGAATGCAGTAACAAATATGAAACTTTATAAACGATTATATATTTACGTTAATATATAAAAAGTAATGAAAAAAGTGATAGGAGTGGCAGAAATCATTGTTCGTGTGTATAATTCGAAAGAGGGATAAGTTTTGAGTTTACAGCTATATTATAAAAGTATATACAGCAAAATCAACAGGTCAACACTGCGGATACCTTGGGCATCCTAACGCTAAGTTACCGATATTATTGTCCGTTTATATCTATACTTTTACTATTTATGCATACAAAAACGAATAATACCACCATTTTCAAAACAATGCATCCATTATAGAGTTATATCGTCATAGAAATAGCGACGCCGTCCATTTATGTTTACACATTTTAATTTTGATACAGTAAGCCGGAAAAATCACTATTCGAAATTTTAAAATGTCAAAATAAAGACACAAGTAAATCCGACGATTGATTCAATCTTACATTTTTTTTAAACTGTTCCGTTTATTTTTTGTTTATCTTTTGTTCTGTTTCATTTTTCCTTTTATCTCGTATTTATCATTTCATTTCTCCTATACTTCTGTTCTCGTTCGAACGTTTTGTTTTATACCTACACAGAGAAACACTTTACAAGATAATAATAGTAGAATGCTATATTATTTTTGGCCCATTAATGAAGTAGTACATTGTTCGGTCACTAATTTTATATACAAAATTGTGTTACTCTAAA